AAGGAAAATGGACATGCACAGATACAGTCCAAGACCTGGGAAGACAAGAGGAGTCTGCTTAGCTTGGGAAGATCAGAGCCCACATCCATATACTCTGAACCACCTGGATCAAGCCATGGTGCTGCTGCTTCCAGCAACACTCCAACCCTTCCTCCATGGAGGGCAAAGAAAAGTAGTGAAATTAATGTGAGTATTTGTGTGTTTTCACTGATAATAGTCTACTGAATAGAGAATGTTACCTGCCTCTGGACTAAAGCAACAGTAGTAGACCAACATAAAACTGAGCCGCTTCACTGACGCAGATGGGATTAAGGCATTATTCAAGAGAACCACTGTGGTGGTGGGAGGGGCAGGTTTACCAACTGAGTCTACCTGGACTATAAAGACCTCTATGTGAGAAGGTAGAGTTAGGATTTTGATTTGTGTAGAAGGGGGGAACTAGAATTTGAGGGTTCTGCAGTATGTTTGTATTTACTTTTTGACTCCAATTTCACACATTTACTGGGGAACCACAGGAGACTAGACTGCATTAATTGCCATTAGGATTATTAGATATTAATGTATCATTGTTTTCAACTGAAGACCAATTATATTAACATTAGTATTACTAACCCTAAGTAGTATGTTTTAAAATTCTAGCATTACCATTCATTCATTCATCTTCTATACCGCATAGTCCCAAACAGGGTCGCAGGGGGGCTGGAGCCAATCCCAGCCAGCAATCGGACGAAGGCAGGGTACACCCTGGACAGGCCGCCAGTCCATCGCAGTAGCATTACCATATATAATGAATTTAAAAACAAGCCTACCACCACAAATACACACACCTACACATTTAACGTCCTTGCCTACCCCACAGCACAACACAACCCTCCTCTGCTCATGGCCCACTATTATAACAGCAGGTCCTTCAAAGGGCACATGTATTTTTGGGTCTGTGATTTGGGACTGAGCTGCAGCTCTTTGGAAACCCTTCATGTTCCATACCACACACACTGTTAGGGAGAGATTCAAGGAATTCTAAGTTATCAATTCATAATTAGTATTTGTTCTTTAGAACTGAAATGAAAACCATAGTCAGGTATGTAGTAGACTGTGTGACAAACATACCATTGTACACCACTACATGCATTAACAGTGCCCACATATTGTTTTGCCTATTTATGATATAACTCTCATGCAAACCTTGAAGACAGGTATATAAATATATCTCTGTCCCCTAATAGCTTAGGGATCTTGCTTCCCAGCCAGTCCAACTCTCGAATCTCCAAATGGAAAGTTGAATTGCTATGTCCATGTTAATAACACCCCCTGCCCACACCCTGAGAGGGACAAACACCTGTCCTGTCAAAACACACACCCTGCCAACATTCCTCTCTACTGAAATTGCCTGGTCTTTTCCCACTTGTTAGTGCCACACTCTGACGTACAACATTTCAAACCTCCCCACCCAAGAAAAAAGATAGCCACATGATATAATACTCTGCTCTATCAATTTCAAATTTGACATCGTCTCTGTATTTTTATAATCTGTTGATAGGCCTACAAAGGGGAGGGGAGTGGGGGTTGTTCAACAATTTTTGTAATGTTCCAAAACTACAAACAAACCATTTAATGCAGCATGTGAAAACGGGACAAACTGGAACTTCTTCCTAAAGCTCTCTTTTTTTATTCTACAAACTACTTAAGTCATTTTTAATATATGCAAACAAATGCTACACCATGAATGCCTACTGTGCTCTGTGTATGTGTCATTATTGCCATTTCAATGACGAGTTATTTCATCTTGTCTCATGTTGTCACCAAGCTGAAGCCAATGCTAAGTGCCTTAAATGCATCAGTATCACTAATGTTCACTTAGTGAAAATTAGGTAACAGCTAAAGTCCTACACCATTTAACCCTGTGGCTAACCTCTTAGCAAATAGTTAGCTATACAGCAGACATACAGCATTTGTTTGGAGTTGTGTTTGTATCCACATAAAAGAATTAAATTCCAAAATATACTCTCTTTTTAGTTATGTTTTGGTCTCCACTAGATGCTTAGGGAAATATCTAGCTCCACTACCTAGTTGCTAACTTTATGTGTCTGCATACAGTGGGTTTTGTGCAGCTTGCAAGTAAAGTTGTGGCCTTAAAACCAAAACAATGAGGTAAAAGATGCAAAAATGTTCCACAGGGCTTAGGGGAACTGCAGAGTTGCATTCTCTATGGGTTGTTTTGCTACAAACAACTCTTTCCTGGTATACAAGACTATTTCATTCATTGTTAATATAAAAATATGGCTTAGTGCAGCTTTAAAGAGAAGTATTTGCTTAATTATACTTCTGGTGTCTCAAAGCTGGGTTATTCAAGTATCTGTTTAGGCTATGTATGTCTATTCACTGGCCATGATATAAATATAATAGAATTTTTAATTTTGAAAAATTAAAACTGGTAAAATGTTTGAAGTCTAAAAAAATGTTAATAATGTAATATTTATTTTACTTTGGCTTTAACAACCAGGATCCTTTCTCAGATGTGTTTTTGCCTGTTTGTGCATTTATTAGTATTCTACCAAAGTATGTTTATATGTTTTTAAGGAGTCAAGGTGATATGGAGATAAACACAAACAGAAGTTGGTGAAACTAACGGGGTCAGATAGTGTCAGACTAGCAGCTCCTGTGGAGCCCACAGATTAATGGGGTGCTAATCTCCCTCTTGATGATGAGTTGGTTGACTGGTTGCAATGGCTCTATTGCGTGCCTGCCAGTGCACTGAACAATATGTCTCTGGAAAGCAAAAAGCAGAGGGAGATGGGAGAGGGGGCAAATACAAGCCAAAGCTTCAGGCTGATATACTTAGGCACTGTTTGAACTGCTCAAGCTACCTCCCTGATTTTCAAAGCATCCATTTGGGACTATATTGGGATGTAACAAGAGTGGGGCGGAAACTTTTGCAAAGGGGCCGATTGCTGAATCTAAAATAGCCTCTCAGTGGGAACACAGGTTTGTTGGCCACAGCTGTGATTTAAGGAGAAGCTTTGAGCTATTAGCAGATGAAGATCACACATACAGAGAAGTTAGAACATACACACTGACTGATTTATCATGGATGATAAAAGTCAAAAAGTATTTTTAGCTGCACAGCATGCAGCAAACTGAAAGACAAAACAACTGTCTTTGTTTGTTGTGAGCAAAACAATGTTGGACACTGACAACGAGTGATATTGCTAAAGCAAATGTACACAGCCAAGTACTCTACTTGGCTATAACTGATTTACTTTCATGGGATAATGGCCAGCAAAGGAAATGCAATTCCTTGCACAATTCTTCAGTTTTTAATTAAGTATTGATTTATTTTTGCTAAAACACTAGGTTTTGAGTATGATAGCTTTTGTTCCAAGCTATGCTGTGAGCAAGAGAGCCAAAAGAAGTAAACCTGATTAGCTGGTCACCTCTTCACCCCACTGCACAGCATCAAAGATATTGTGGAGAAGGAAATGACTTCCCATGGATATATGATATTGTGCTTACTGACTACAATTCAAATGACTCTGATGTTAACTGGCCAGAGACAAGAAAACAATGTAAGCATGGTTCCCTGTAAGGCTGTGTGCAAATGCAAGGCATCTTCCTCTTCATAGGTGATTGATGTTGCTTTATTAAATCAGTCCTCCCTTAACTTGGACTGCTCTCTTAAGGCTGTGTGTGACCCTACCAGTTTGTGGATATTATTGCTTTCTTAATATAAAGACACAGTTTACTGAAATAATAGAATTGCTTGTTTTGTACTTCTTGTCTTAACTGAACAGGGCACTGATGCTAAAGGAGAGAAAAACATTGTTCATGTCAACACAGCTACACAAGAGAAAGGGAAGCAAGGTAGGCAGAGCTGACCTGATAAGCTGATCTCACCTGTGTATACACATAAATACACACACACACACACACATGCAGACAACCACCAAAATGTAATAGGAAGGAAACTTTAATGCACTATACTGCGACAGGCAATTCAATCTATTTCTTGAAGGTCAGTGTTAACCAATTCTACTATAAATTTGTAATTACAATTATTGTGCATTATTATATTTTGAACCTCTTCATACCTGCAGTGGTTTATTTCATTATTACAATCAGAGTGGCAAATGAACTCTAATATGTTCAGACTAATTGTTGAGCTTTAATGCAAAGAAACCTGTTCCAGCATCAAGCTCTCAATGCAACATTCCTCTTTTAGACCAGGAAGAATCACATCTTCTGATCAAACCACATCTTCCCCTCACTGCAATGACCAAATCCAGCTCCGAAGCTCCAGGTGCTCCTCACTCTCCTGCCTTAGTGGCTACAGCAACTAAAGTAGCTCCAGTAATATCAATGATGCCTGCTAAATGTTGGCTACTGCTGAAACACAGAATCCATTTAGTCAGTTTAACTAAACACATTTCTCAAAATGTTAGTCACTTTGTAATGAAGCTATTTCTGTTGTGACTTGTCTCACTGGAGATGCATAAACAGACATTAATAGAAACTGTTCTCAATGTCTGAGTGTCTTTAACCATCTTTTCTATTTTGACTTCATTTTTTATTCAGATTTGTCCTTTTTCAGATGCTGATGAACCCCAGGCTCATCTTCCTGTCTCTGCCATGACAACCAAACCCAGTGTTGAGAGTTTGATTGCAGCTAAACCTGCTCAATCTCCAGCATCAGTGCCTAAAATAGCTGGCCATTCTGCAGCAGAAGCAGTGGGAGGAGAAGCAGGGGAATATCCTTTTGCAAGAAGTTAGTTTGTGGGTCATTTACTTTGTGTTACTGTGTACAGACACTACAGACTATTAAGATGCATTCATAGAATTTAATCTCCTAATAAAACATTTTTTCATGTAGCACTGAAACTTTTAACTGTCTGTGCATTAGTAAATAAAAAAAGACTGGAGATGTTTCTTTATATTTTTATATTTTCGTTATAGTTTTAACCCATAGGGAAAAAATCTGTCTGGAAGATATAGCTTTTACCAGTCACATGCTACTTATGTTCTTATTACAATAGCACAAAAGTAGCCATCCTTATCACCCTAGTAAACACCTAGAAACACTTTAGGAACCACTTATCAACCAACTAGTAACCCCCTTTTACCATTCCACCACAGAGTAATGCCCTAGCAACCAGCCTGCCACATCTGAGGAGTTACAATACTTAGTCACATCCTGCCATCCTACATAGTTAATTCATATATGCATGGTGAGTAAAGGTGTTAAGAAATGAAGTTTCATGTGCTTTATATCTCTTTTCCTTAGACAACAGTGAACGTAAGCCACAGTTGCTTCTCTCTGCTATGACCAAACCCAACACAGAGTCTTCATCATCAGCTGTACTAGCACAGTCTCCGAGTCTTTCAGCATCGCAGGAACCTGCAGTGAAACCTGGGGAATATCCCTTTAAGCGAGGTGAGTTCAACTGGGGGACAAGGATTTGTATCTAAAATGAAGTTCATGGGTACTTGTCAGTTTATCCACTGTTCTTTCACTTGTTAATACATATGTTTTAAAGATTTTTCTGTATTTTTTATTTTCTGTTTTCCTGTTATTTCCACTTTGTTGTTGTTTTTGTCTTATCTCTTTAATTCAGCACCGATTCTCAAGACACCCAGTCCCACTCTTAAGAGAAGTGTGAGCTTTCCTCAGCCTGCAGGTAAAATATCACAACACTTTCCAAATTTGCAAGTAGAGGCTTTAGTTGTTGTGATTTATGCAAGCAGATGCAAATTACATTTTTGTTCATTTCATTTGTCATCTACTGTATGTCATGCTGTTATTCTTCACTCTGACTTTTTCTAACTAACAGAAAAATTACTTCCCTCCAAGTCAATAATAAAATCCAGTTTCTCACCTACTTTGGACAAGTAAGTTGTAACAATGCATCCTGTGTTAAAACATTAACCTTATTAGTTTTATTTGTGTGAGGTGCTTAGTCAGTTTACAGCCAACTGGCAACTTCTGCCCAAATGTATTTTTAATTTGCCTTCAAAGACAAGTATCAGTGAAAAACATCCAGTTAATGCTGTGCTTGAGTTTGTTGTTCTTTATTTCTCCACAGGAAAGTGAACAAGTCAGTGGGTTCTGAATTTAAGCAGGATGTAATAAAATCACAAACACTTCCACGTCCCAGTGGGGCTCAGGCCAAACGGGCTCTCTTTGAAAGGATGAGCTCAGAGCCTATTAAGTAATTGTATTTAAAATATTTTTCCATTTCATCTTTATCCATATTTCCAGTCTCATATCAATAACAGCTTGCCTTGCAGTGAGATGTGTTTGTATCAAACAGGCCAAAGGACTCCAAGCCTAAACTGAAGCGCTCTCAGAGTTTTGGAGTGTCCAGTGCCAGTGGCATTAAACACATCCTGTTGGAATGGTGCCGCTCAAAAACCATTGGTTATCAGGTAGTGACCTCTAAATCCATTTACCATCAATTCTTTTGATTTGATTTTTATTAGCAGATGGAATCTGGCCAGTTGTCATAGACATTTAATCTCAAATTTTCATTTTTTACAAGCACTTTATGGATTTCTCATCCATACTGGCTTAAAAGCTCAAGGTCATTAGGTCATTGTTAGAATATCTTCAGTTCTATGACAACTGTGCAAGCATAAAAGTATGAGCACAGAATAGTATTAATCTTCTACCTTTCCAAATTGTATCTTGATCCATTTCAGTGGAGTGAGGGGTTACATTCTGTAATAATAAATACTGTGACCATTTATCAACATTTTCCTTGGAAGTCAACACTTTAAAATTGTTCCAACTGAATAAATTAATGAAAAGGAAATACATAAGATAATACAACACCAATGCGGTACCATGTTGTTATATAGCATGCTGATGTTCTTATCTTTTTCTCAGAATATAGACATTCAGAACTTCTCATCCAGTTGGAGTGATGGGATGGCTTTCTGTGCTCTGGTCCACTCTTTCTTCCCTCTGGAGTTTGATTACAACACACTGGATCCTGCTAACCACAAACACAACTTAGGGCTGGCCTTCACCACTGCTGAGTAAGCAGTCTAGGATTGATTGAATGAGTGTGTGTGTGTGTATTGTAGTACCACAGGGTACCACAGTGTAACTGACTGGCAAACTCACAGCAAGTACTTTGACAAAAAATGACCAACAGAAATTAGACAAGCTGAACATAAAATCAGACAAGCTTGAACTTTGGGAAAAGAGACAATCTAAGACGATCTTTTGGTGCAGTCAGCAACACGTGTCCAGATGTGTTATAAAACGAGTAACTAACTGTATGTCCATGTCTTTATTCATTTCATTGGAAACAAATTAATCCCTTGCCCTATTGTATATTTTATTTATCTTTATTACAGTTTTATACTTTTGTGTTTCAGGCAGCAGGCTGACTGTCTCCGTCTGATCGAGGTGGAGGACATGATGGAGATGGGGGACAAGCCAGACCCTATGTGTGTGTTTACATATGTCCAGTCCCTCTACAACCACCTGAAGAAGTTTGAGTAACTCTGTATCAGAGTAGATGACAAGTCTAGATGTTAATCACAGTGTGCTGTGAACACTTTGAGCTGACTTAATGTGGAACTCACAATCAGCATCTGACTATAAAACTAATAGGAAACCACTGACCACAATGGCTGTAACTTTGGACAAATATTTTTCCTCATAAAATCACATTTCATCAATGCTTTACTGTATGTGTGTATTCACCAGTTCCACTGACTCCTCTTACATTTATAGTGGACTGCTTACCTTAAAATGCAGTATGTTATGCAAGTTTAAGAAATGATAATAATTTGTTATAAGTACTGTTGATGAATCAGTGTTTAAGAACATAAGTATTGTTACAAATAAAAGGGTTATGAACCAGTGTAAAGATGCTCCAGTAGCGACAAATTGAAATTTTGCCTGAACTGAATCTTATGATTTGATTCGGTGAAATAAAACAATTTTCTAATACTTAGGTCACATGATGCCAGGTCTGTCTGCTAAGGATGACCATGAGATATATTTAAAAGCTCTTAAAAACTAGCAAGTGTACCTTCAGTACACGGTTGTCAAACTCTATATTCTTTTCAAGATCAAGAATGACCATTCATACACAACATCTACTGTACAAATATGAACGTTTCCTGCTTTGCTCTAATTAATATTGTAATATTTTGGCGATTTTAACTGCTGATGTGATAAAATGTCATATGTAGATGTGATCTTTGACTCTGATAAACCTGAATTGATAATGTGTTATAGACTAAATTGATTGAGAAAATCAGATACATTGATAATAAACGTAATCATTAGTTTCAGCCCTGACTGACTTATGCAATGATGTGATTCTAATTGCGTCTTTAAATATGAAGACAAACTGGGAAACCAAGCCAGTTATCATCCATGACCAATCCCCATCACCTAAACTCAGATCAGTTTAGTGACACACATTGTTAGAAAACCCCTGATCAAAATCTTGGATTAAAAAAAAAAAAATCTGTTTGATCATGGTGGTAAATAAAGCGTTTTGTTAAGATTTTCAGAAAACTGTGTCAGAGATTCATTAGCTGGAGCTTTATGATGTATAACAGTGTGTACATTGCCATCTACTGGTATAATCGTGTTAGTGCAAAAGGCCAGTAGCAAAAAAAAAAAATCTGTATTTAAACTGGTAAACGTTAGACACCAAGCATCATAAGGTTCACACCAAGGTAAGGGGACACACAACTAAGAGGGAATAGACTTCACTTTCCCCAGAATCTACTCCTGAGCCTTGGGATCTGACGCTAGCATTTAAAAATAATTTCTTTACAAATTGCCACTTTAAGTATTTTAAGAACGCAACCATTCCACCATTAAATTGCAATTAAGTCTGTCCAAGAGATAGATGAAAATATTTACAGAAATGTTTCATAAGGAAATGTTGAGCCTACATAGAAGCTTTCTCGTGTTAATTATTACCTACAGAGTAATTGTGATAATATGCTCATCAGTTGTAAACAGTATGTTTCACAGTCCTTTTGATCACAGCTTCTTGTATTTTGTCTGGTTTGGTTAACTGTTAAAACAACAATAAAAATTATTTTACTCACCAAATGCTTGCTGGAACAAGCATAATCTGCAGAAAAGTTGAAGTATGATGCGTTTATTGTTTAAATTATTTCTGAACATATTTAAGCAATTGGTTATTAGAAAAAGATAAGTCGGTTGTTCTGAATTATTCGTTATGGTGTAGTTATTTTCGCGTAGTATAGCAGGAGTAGACCTATGAAGTGTTGTAGTTTTAGAGAAATAGAGATGTTGGGTCGTATTTCCAATGCGTTTAAGGGGTGTGAACGCAACGTTTCCCATTGACCAGACATCCCTTCCGGTAGATGAGGTCAACTTTTCCCTAGATCCGCCATTTCAGTCCATGAGTTTCTTGTTGCACATTAGTTTTGAGTATTTTTTTGTTATTTTAACGTTTAAGAAGTAGAGAATTCAAGTTTATGACGCAGCATTAATTCAGTCAATTTAAGAGGACTGACGCTGATAGTGGAAGTTGCCAAAGTTGTGGTGTTGTACTGTTTTTCCAGCGGCAGCGTTTGTCATCCAAAGTTTTTGTATGACTTGAGGATAGGGAGAGGCGAAGGGGAAAGGCCTCAAGCCTCGGGCAGGATTTAACAGACATGGCCGGTAATTTTGATGCAGAAGACCGTGCTGCTTGGTACTGGGGAAGGCTAAATCGCCAAGAAGCGGTTTCTCTTTTACAGGGACAGAGGCATGGCGTTTTCCTGGTCAGAGACTCGATAACCAGTCCTGGTGATTACGTGCTGTCCGTTTCGGAGAACTCCAAAGTGTCCCATTATATAATCAACAGCGTCAGTAACAACAGGCAGTCGGGCTCAGGTAAGGTTTATTTATTTGCTAACAGTCATGTAACTAGCTGCTAGACTGTTCATCTGATATTAACGTTAAAACAAGTATTTTCTCCTTAAGTCAGGATTTCTAGGATGTAGCCCCGTCACCGTTATATTCACTCGTGTCAGGATACGCCAAACTTCCATTATAAAATGTCAACTTAAAAGGATCTTGCTAAATCTGCTAACATAAGTGCCATTTATCACACAGTTTGTGTTTTCGGTGATATCTGGGCGTACTCTGAACGTCGGCTTATATATGTCATGAAACATTTTACATGGGGCTCCCACTGCTCCTTACCTTCCACCGCGGTGTAATTAAGTTTTGCTGGCTTTAGCTAACTGTCTAGCTACCGTGGATAGAATAGAAGACATTGTGAAGAGTTGACACTTTGGACCGAATTCATGTGTAGGCTGCATTTTGAGGCTAATACTACCGGGTCTGTGAGCCTGGCAATGTAAAGATGTTTATAAGTAATGTACAAGCTGTGTCACTTGACTGCTAAGCACATGAGAGTTAAGTGAAGTACTTTTTAAATGGAGTTTGGTGAAACTTTATCCTTATCGTTAGCTAGTTATCAACAGCCAATCAGACATAATTCATTCAAACACCATGTTTGAGATCATTAATTTATTTTTCCCATGGGGACTGGGGCAGTGGTTTGTCCTTGTTGGGCCAGGACTATAGTGGTTTTGAGGTGGGCTGGGCTGCTGTAGGGTTTGAATGGAACTGGACAGAATGGGTTGTCACAGCTGGGAGGATGACTGGTCAGATTGGCATCTGTGGAATGTCTGTAATCTTACATGGCCATTCTTACAGGTCTGCTGCAGTGCTGTTAGGTCTTTATGGCTGTTGCACAATTCTTGTCCTTTCTGGGCTACCCTGGCAGTGGGTCATTTTTATCTGTCTCCCTGTTATAAATGACCATAGACCATTATGGTAACAGTATTATTGTAGTCTGCTAAAAGATTTATGTACCAGTTGGCAAATTACTTTTGAAATCACAAGCAAGTGAGTGATGTATAGGAATGGTACCCAAGTGAGATTAGTGTCTGTGCTGTTAAGATTAACATTTAGGAGCAAATTGAGCAGAGTGGTGGCATGCCATTTAAACAGCTATTTGCTGAGGCTGTGAATATAAGTACAAGCTATGAGTCATTCTCTTCACAAGTCAGGACAGCCACTCAGACTGACATCAAATTTTACTTATTGCCTGAATATGGTGGCTGACAGAATCTAGTCTTAACACACTAAAATGTAGTCTAAAGCTTGTCAGAATGATATAGGGGTTTATGCCAGTACAGTTTATTATATAGTGGTTTTGCTTAATTGTTTTCTAGGGAGGTCGCTATCTCTATTTCCAGCCCAATCTGGACAGTGTTGCAAATCAGTGTTCAAGACTGCCTTATGGTATTTTGCATTTACAGCATCGTTTGCATTAATCTGATGAACCTTGGTTTGTCATAATTTTAAATCATTGAATTGCCTCAAGCTAGATGGTTATTATGTTTCTAAATGACTTCTAATTTGAATATCCATATAGTAATACAGATAGTGTGGTACCTTTTCCTGAAACGTGTTGAAATAAAATGCTCTTTTGTCATATACACCTGCATGCATGCATTTAGTTTGCCACAGAATAAAACAACAAAGCCATGAAAAGAGATTATTCTTGCGTATTCTACAAAGATCTTCTAAAATGCTCAGGAAAAATATGAGTATCCCTTAGAAGTGTTTTTAAAAACAAAATCAATATTTGAGACAGTTTAAACGGAGAAAAGTCCTCATTGTGCTGTTCTGTGTCATTGTCTGCAAAATAATGGTGGTCAAGAAGAAGAGAATTGTCTGAGAAGATAAGAAAATATATTTCAAGCATTGTCAAGGTAAAGGCTACAAGATCATCTCCAAGCATCTTGATAGTCCTGTGACCACAGCTCCTAATATTATTAGGTTTAAGGTCCATGAGACCATAGTCAATCTCCCTGGACATGGTTGCAAGAGGAATATGTACCACAGATGGGTAGTTTGAATGGTAGAAAAAGCATCAAGGAAAAAAATCACAACTGATACAAGCTGAGCTCCAAGATCAAGGCATAACAGTGTTCAATTGTACCATATTTTGCATTGCAAATCAAAGTGGGCCCCATGGAACAAGACCCCATTTTTCCAAGAAAATAAACATGAAAAACTGTCTGAAGTTTGTTAAAATGCCACAGTGCTTTTTGGAGAATGCCCTTTGGGCATGTGGGGGGGTACCAGATTTTTGGTGAGTCACATCAGCTTTATGTTCACAGAAGAAGAAAATTAATCTTTCAAATAAACATCACCATCTCTGGAGGCTCTGTTTTGGGGATGCACTATTGCAGCAGGACACAATGAAATCAAAAGATTTCCAGGGTGTTCT